GATTTGTACGAAGATAGGCTCAGGAATTGGGAGGCCAAACCCGAATCCTTTACAGCTCTCACCCTAGTGGGGACCCTTCCCCTGACTGTATATTCCCATCACCTGAACAACCAACAATCTGCGCTACTACTGAATTTCTCTTTTACACATTTCGTTCTTTGGTTGGTGCGCAGCTTTTCCTCAATTACCGAATTCTTGGTTTCTGTATGAGTCAAAATGAGGAGGTACCATCGGTGGGATAGTATGATCACTTTTGTGAATTTGCGGGAACAGGGAAAAAATATTTCAGGATAGTTTGGGTAAACTTCATTTTCGTCGTTTTTTTTAAAACAACTTCGGGAATGGCCGTTCTTGTTGCTGCTGCTGTTGAGTGCTGCTGCTGCTACTGCTGCTGCTGATGATTGACGACGTATCGACCAGGAAATCGGTCGATGGTGGTCGTCTGTAGAAGTTGCTTGTACTGGTTACAGTTGGCCTGATCCGAGTATATGTCGGTTGTTGTCGTTGTTGCGGGAAAATCCGCGGTCTTACGGTGGTCGCTATTGTTCTTGGACTTGAAACCGTTGTTGTCCGTGTTCTGGTTTGTCGCACCGTTGTCGATCTAAAGTACAATTCCTTAACTATTTTCAGAAAAAAAAAATCATAATACTGTAGAATGCTGTACTATAATTTTGATTAAAACTATAATAAGCAATTTTGCGGCTTTAACCTGAAAAATGCTTGATTTTTCAACCTGTTAATGTAATTTTGTAATATGCAATCCCAGCACGAATCCATTTGTTAAACTATAATGCAACAACCACTCATACGGTTAACAATTTGATTGCTTCAAGTTTAGCGCAAAAAAGCATGATTGCACCGGGTAAGCCTATTGCGCCGCTAAAATGTTTGCTACCTTAGTTGCATTTGCATAAATTTTTCAAAACGCACAAAAATTTAGTGGACAGCAATTTTGTGTGGCATTATGGTTGAACATGCATAATAATTTTCATTAATTATACCGTGTAGTTGAACGTTGTGGTGTAACGGGAACAGTGTGCGGTTTTTTGCTGCTGCTTTGTTGCTGACGCTTGGGCTGTGGTTGAAAACGCTGCGAAAAGCGGCTGAAATGAAAATTTTCAATTTCTCACTGACCACTGTGATAGTGATTTTAATCCGCGTGTCCACCACTATCCAATAAAAAATTCTAGCGTAAGTCAAAAAGAATCAGTTGAACAGCGATAATGCTATTGGAAGCATCTCAGTAATACCACTGGCGTGAAAAACCCGCACTGACTGCCAGGATGGTTTTGGTATTTTTTGAAAAGTAAAAGCTACAAGAAGTTATGGCATTCTCAGTTATACTCAAGATATTATTTTCTTAAACAGGAATCAGATGCTTCATACACGTACTGACAAGCACTGTCGATTATGGCGCAATAGGAATTAGCACTAATAGCGTCATGCGGCAGATCGAGGGTTCGACTTTGCCGTTGGAAGAACCAATCCCTCCACGACTCGTTCGTGGTTACGTCGGGACGTGAAGAGGAGTGGTTCCATTTCCCTTCGGACCGGAACAGTTTTTGAGAAAAGGTTCCGTTCACGACAGGGCTGTTGCTTGTTTCACATATTCATTTCAATACTTTTAAAATTAACGGACAAAAAGTTGAATTAATCTTTGGCGTTACATAACCCGATACGCACAGGCCATTCCTGATTCCGTTTTAGGGTATACTTCGTTTCATTAGCGGAGGTACTTTTATGCACATAAGCGCATGGAACAATCGTCAAAAAAGGGCATCGTCGGGAACCCAGACTGAGGAAGGTGCTGTTGCCATTTGCTAGCACTGGGGCTACTTCTGAGTGTCTTTATTAAGAGTAAATACGGAGGGAGTTTTTATATTCAACTTGACGTGCGGTAAAACAAAATATACGATTTTTTTGCGGTATATCGCGGCATCATTTATATTTGCTTTCAACCGATAAGGACTTTCCCATATGTGTGACGACTGGGAATAACTGGGAGCAGGTGTCACCAGGTGTTTCGGGAGAAGGTTAGAATGCGCCCATGCAAAACCGGTAAAACTTGGACCAGTTAGTCAGAGACCGGTTTTCCTGCAAACTCCATGTGAATTTTTCCCTCAAACAATTTTTATCAATTTTTTCCGTTTTGCGCGAAAGAAGGCAAAATTTGTCCGAAAAATGCACTGGTTACTTTTCTAAAAACCAACGGATATGTCCTGTTATTGCTTGGTACCAAGGGCTGAGGCAAAGACCATTGTTCACAAAGATTATGCGTGCACGTATTACAAAACAGTTGAGAGCCGTGAAAAAGCGACCTAGGCCAAGGTGTGTGTGTGTGTGTGTGTGTGTGTGTGCGTGTTTGTGCGTGTGTGTGTTTGTAGGTGTATGTTTGTGTGTGTGTTTGTGTGTGTTTTTGTGTATGTGTGTGTGTTTTTGTGTGTGTTTTTGTGTGTATGATACAACCCTCAAAGAAACTCTAGCAAAAAATGTACTTTTATATATATGGCGCGCCCTGTCGAAAATTTCGAAGACAATTCCAGAACATCTATCCCGCATCCTCTGTCTTTGTGATATAATTTAGTAAATGTGGGGCGGTTTTTTGTGTGAATTATAGAACTACGGGTCATGCAAAGTTTAGTTTTGAGCCAAAAAAGTTAAATTGAGGTTGAGGGGAACTACGACGGATTTGCGATATTTTTTGCTGCCCCTTGATATTATTTCAGAGTATTTAGCCAATATTTCCCCAGAACATTCCATCAGAAACCAAATTCTATCCGACGATACTATAAGGAAGTCTTTTTTTGGTAAACTGCCCGGTTTATAGTTGGAAATTTCAATAAATCGTGGTTCTGTTTAAAAACACCCATATTGCATAAAATACATGTACTATACAGGTTTGGGCTATGTTGTCGCATAGGTAAGCTTTCCGCACTGTATATAAACCATATTCACGTCTCATGCGCTCAAGACAACATGCCGTTTTGTATAATTCATCTATGTTGCATCTATAATATACACAGCACTGATGCAGAAGCGATGGTACACTTATATTGCCAGCAAGTCGTACATTCCAGTACCTTTTTTCAGGGTCCCCTAATTTTTCAGTGTAGACTTTTCCTTGAGATCCTGCGCACCTATAGATTCGGGAGAAATATTTGATAATTTTGCACGGAAACTCTCACTTACTTTTGATCGACTAGAGCCGTAAGGCCTGTAAGGCCAGGGCGTGGCCTGAAACCATCCAGTGGCCTTGGTGAGAATGGCCTGTAAGGTTCCACATATTTTTGCTTTGGCGGTGGCGTTGACCAAGCTGGCATCTTACGAGTGATTATTGGAACCTGCAAAAATTTCACGATACTTTATTTGACAAACACAGAAGATTGTTGCGGTCTCGATGACGAATATCTTGAAGATGGATACTCAAAAAAATCTTTTTTTTTTTTTTTTTTGAAAGTACAGTAGCCAATCTATATCTTTAATCAGTCGATTTTTGCAAGTCATGATAGATTTAATAAACGTCAGAATAGCCAGCAGCTGACCAGTAGGTGAAG